TTCTCTAAATATAAGCGACTATAGTTTATCTGAGTATTTATTAACTCCAAATTTTAGCGTTTCATTGTGTAAAAAGTGATATTAATATGACGCTACATTGCCAATCAATTGTTGATAATTCGATACTGCTGACGCAAAACTTCCCTATAAATTACAAATATCAAATTAATACTTGAATTTCGCTAATTCGTTTCGTGAATAATTCGTACACATATTACATCCGGGGCACGAAATGCCCGGATGTAATCTGAGCGTCTGCTCTGTTGCATCCCAGCCGTTACTATGACAACACCTGGGGCTAAGAAATCAATTGTGTGGGATGTCCGTGATTTTATTAAAGATGAGAGAGCGCATCGGCTTTATGCGTTTACGACAATGGAACTTTCCCATTTGATAGATAAATATTGGAAACATTAACGCTTATTTATATAATGTATTCATATTTATTGTTGTTTCGGGGTTTCAGATATTATGTATCGCCGTACAAATAACTGAGAGTTATTGTTTGACAGAGAAGAACCAAACGCAAGTAAGTAAGTAATAATAATAAATATAAATAATAAAAAAATAAATGTTAGGAGATAAGCATCTCCTAACCTAGTCTTTTAAATTTATATTTATCAGTACCTAAATGTTATTATTTAAACTAGGTTCTCAAATAGTTCTATAAAGGTTTCGTGCAACACAGAGACTAATGTTTCCTTTCGAAAAATTTTGAAATTCACTTATCAATGGCGGCATTGTTCATCATCATCATCATTTCAGCCTGTTTGAGTCCACTGCTGAATATAGGCCTCCCCCATAAACTGCCACGAATTACGATCCTGAGCCACCTGCATCCATTGACTTCCCGCACATTTGCACAGGTCGTCACTCCATCTAGTGCGGGGTCGTCCTACACTGCGATAGCCAGTTTTTGAGTGACAGACTCGTGGCTGCCACTCAAAAACCTTTCTTCCTAGCTACTTAACCGATTAGGCAAAGGCACTGCTATTAATTTATGATAGGAAAATTCTGTACATAAGCATGAAGGTGGTGAAGTTTTAACAAGGCGAAAAAACTGGCCAAGTGCGAGTCGGACTCTATAAAGACGGCAAATAAAAATTTGTCTTTTGTATAGGAAAAAATATTTTATTCTTTTGTTTTTAGTATTTTTTGTTATGGCGGCAACAGAAATACATCAACTGTGAAAATTTCAACTGTCTATCTAACTAGCACGGTGATATTGCCTGGTGACGGACGGACAGATAGACAGCGGAGTCTTAGTACCGTTTTATTCCTTGCGTACAGAACGAAAATTGGGTGCATCCATAACGACTTTATGATTATCCTTCGGTCTCTACCCAGCTCGTTTTACAAAGTAAAAGTCAAAGTCAAAATTTCTTTATTCAACATAGGCTTATTTTAAACTCTTATTGAACGTCAAAAACTACCACCGGTTCACTAAACTAAACTTGCAAGAGAAGAACCGGGAAGAAACTGTGCGTTCATTGTATCATCGTTCATCATATACTTTATTAACTATTTAAGTATATACACAAAATTATTTTAGTGTAATTTTACAGGAGCCAGGGGACGTGCAAGTGCAGAGCAAGTTTTGATCAAGTGAGTGAGTCTTAGGAACTTGATTGTAGATTACTTACAATCAAGTCTTGCTCATCAATTTCTGACATAGTTCATTATTAATATACCAATTGTTAAAAAAAAAATAAGTGCCCTCTGAATTTTATTTTATTTATCTTATCCTTTAAACGAGCAATTCTTGTATATATCTTATCCTATCGATCTGACTAGGTTTCATTTTTAGAAAATGTCGTTTTATCCCAGTTTTCAGGGAATTAAAAATATTTTTCGAATACGACGGTAAATTTCACCGAAAAAAAAATGTTATTATAGCTCGGTTGGTAATCGGGCGGCCGCTAACAAAACAGAAGGCTGTGGTTCGTTTCACGATCATTTACACACTTTTTTTTTACTTTTTTTTCGATTCCTGATCATTGCTTTCTTTATCTTTTATTTTTTGTCGATTTGTTATTTTGTTATTTTTTTCCCTTTTTTTTAAAGTTGTTTCTTTTGTGAAAAACACCAGTTCACATTTTCTTATTATTACGTCGGTAAGATCGAAACTTATTATGCATATTTAATTACTTAGTAATTTGTATCTAAATGTAATTTCCAAAATACACGATTTACCAAAAAAAATACACCTCCGGTCCTCCAGGTACTAACTATTACGCGGCTTTCAACTTTAAGAGATACCGCTTAAACAGAATTTTTAACTAGTACTACTTTAGATCAGTCTAAAATCCGTAATCCAATGGCAGATATGGCGCTCAGGAGAGCTTTAAGTTTTAATTGAACGAAAAGGATTTTATTCGTCTCATTACACTTGGAATTAAATTAAATTACGGTCTTGTGTCTACACGGTGCTTGCCGTCTAGTAATAAATTCAATGAATTCAAATTTTTACAGGGCCGGTCCCCCACTAGGGGTTGAAACGCTTGCTTTTACTAACACGGACCTCCCATGGCCTCTGTTCAGAGGACTTGGAGGAAATTACTAGCCAAAGAGAAAAAAGTGCTGAGAAGGAAGACACGCTGAGTGGTCCAGCAAGCCTTATCTGGAGGAGAGGGGAGTTATTCCCTGAGAAGTGGCTGCTAAAACGACCAGTATTGTCAAGGTCGTGGAAGTGTACAAAAGCGTTCCCGTAGCCCTGTGCGCCCTAGAAGAACCAGGTTTTACTCCAAGCGAGTCCGAGTAGACATTGACCTAACCGATGGTAACTTACGAACGTGTTAATTTCTTTGTAAAATTTTTACGTTCCATAAGAACGCGCAAGCGTCTATGTGAATAAAGATATTTTATTATTATTATTAATTTACCCATCCTTGCCCCGGGTGGGCGTGTTTGCGCAGACTCTTCTACCCAAAAACAGGACTCTTCCAGGGAGATAACACGACTTTATAGTTAACCGGTGTGACATACTTTCGTGTCGATCTAGTGAATGGGGTAACTGGGACCCACTTTCGTAAAGGTTGGCAACGCATCTGCAACCCATCAGGTTTTGTGATGCCAGTGGGCAGTGGTAATCAGTTACCATCAGGTGAACCAGCTACTAACTTGCCAACTTTAAAAAAAAAACGAAAAAAAGGACGTTTGTTGTTTTATAGGTTTAAAAAAACCGGCCAAGTGCGTGTCCGACTCGCGCACGATGGGTTCCGTACCATTATCTATGGTACGGAACCATAAATCAGAAAAAATCATGTTTGTTGTATGAGAGCTCCGCTAAAACATTTTTTATTCCGTTATTTAGGTTCGAACCCAAAAAAACAATAAACATCATAATATTTGCTGACTCAGCACAAACAAGACTCACGCCCCAATAGAAAAGTTCACTATACTAAGCATTCGCTTCTGCTTATGATTTAATATGATTTAATGCTTACTGATTCGCAATTGCTCTATAAGACAGCAAATGCTTTCATAAAATATTAACTAAAAAAATTGTAATATAAAATTAAACAATTGACGCTTCGTAAAAATTCTACACAAAATCAAATTTTAATACAAATTATGATAAAATAATGTAATTAAAAATATTATGAGTAAATAAATTATTCTCAACTTTGCTCACTGTAATATATTTTTTATTATATATTAATAAGCGAAGCAAAAACTTTGTACCCCTTTTTATGAAAATTGCGCGAAAGGAGGAGTATGAAATTTCCCATACTAATGCCAATATTTTTTTAATCATGCATAAAAAATTAATTAAATGCTTAAAATATACATTACACATACTATCATGTATAATTAGGGTCGCATTTCGACCACTGGGCACCGACTACTTTTTTTAAATTATACATAAATAGATATGAACGATGGCTTACCCAATGCAGGAGACATTGATACGATGTTCCCTTGACAAACAGCAATGCTCCATAAATTCATTGATAATCCGGCCACAAAGTTACCCCGGGAACTGTCAGCTGCTACATACTTGCATTCTATTATATTCTACGTAATTCTAAGTACCATTGTCTTGTCTTGATTCTGCGAAAATATTCATCCATTTTATTTCCATATTGAAATAATAGATAAAACCACTTGTAAAATTTACTTAGAAAAATATATTCCTCCCTAAGATAATAAAGGTAAATTTGACTCATTGAATGTATGACTGATAGATTTTATAGAAACAATATTCACTGGAACACCTCTTGAGATTGTTAAATCATCGACGATGTTGAAAGCACAGTTGCGTTAACTTCGCACACTTCAAATAATGACACCCATACCATTTTGTTTCACACTCCTCTTGTATTTAAATCCAATACTTTAATTAATTGAATAAATAAACTATTATAACAAAGAACAAAATATTCTCAAAGAAATAAAATTATAGCAGTGAAAAACTGAGTCTTACTTACATAATCCAAATTGTGAGATAGAAAGTTGTAGTTTATCCACAATTATTAGAGTACTAATACAAATAACTGAACCTTATAATTACTTTGATAACATATGCAAAAAGACTAATTATACTTATTTCTCTACTTATTTTCCACTCATATACTTTTAGTTTTTCACTCATAGAGTTCACAGTTGTTACATTATTAACACATAAGAAAACTGTTAAGTTTTCACTAACAATGAATAAATTTTTTCTATTGTACTGTTTAGCTTTTTCACAACGATTTTTTTGCATTTGTGTTTCTTTTTTTTCCTTTATACGTTTTTTGATATTATTTCATATTTAATATATAAAAAAAAGTATATATATATAATAATAATTAAATTATTTTTTTATATTAAATTTCTAACTTCATAAATTAAATTAAATATCGTCTTCATATTTCCCGTTTTACCCATTACATATCATCGAATTGATTTCAGTTTTATCAACAAAATAACTACTTTGTTTTATATCAATGTCTTTGTAACAAAATAACAATGTTACATTTAAAAAAAATGTTTGTTAAGTTCTAATATCTTGATCATTCTTTATCATTCGTTGAATCCATTTTCATATCCATCGTTTCATCATTATCTGGGATAGTTTTCTTGTTTTTACTTTTCGTCAATTTTATCCTTTCCATATTATAATTGTCGCTATTTTCAAGTTTCCTCTTTGGGTTCGATTGCACTAAAGTGCCACCTTTACCAGCGATAGTGGAAAATACTGGAGAGGGCGGGGGAGTAAGCATAACTCCTGTCAAGCACTTCTGCAACCTCAACTGCTTGTAATACCTGCAACAGTAAAACAAAGTAATTTATGCGTAAAATATCTTTTTCAATTTAAAAATGACGTTAATTGTAACGATAGCACTAATAACGTCGTTTAACACTACTAATTAAGTGAGTATTAAATTCGTATATTTGTGCGGTTCATTCTTAAAGAATTATTCATAATTCACCACTTGACAAAGAACGCTAATTGAACGTCTCTAGGTGTGGCCGAAGTTGAGAATTATTAAATAAACTAAATAATTAAAAGCAACATACGATAATTATAAGTCGTCGATCATATTTAATATTTTCATAAAGAACAAAAAAAGTAAATTTAGAATACAAGTACTACTAAATAAATGCTAAAAAGTACATTCAAAACATTTTAAAGACAGATAAATCTTGCACAGATCTTTAATATAAAATTATGAGAAATAAACCCTGTCAAGTACTCACAGCTCAACAGGTAAAGAAACTTTCAAAGAGGGCCGTTTTGGCGCGCAACTGTCGTTCTTTTCTTCCGCTATTTCCTCCATTCTGCTTTTAGGTATAACCAATTACAAAAGCCGTTAAAACTAAATCAAACTGTTGGAATAACATAGAAAACAACACTAGCAATATTTAAAAACAACAATTGAAAAGAAAAACATTGCACAGTATGCTAGCTTCAATTTCGAGCGCGGGTGGGCCTAATGGCCGATTGACTTTTGCGTGAATATATAGTAGAAGTAAAACACTACGATTGTTACTAGGACACTGTTGTAAGTGCCTTTGGGGGCGCGAGCTCCGAATGCCCTGCGAGTTGATCTCATGCTTGTCGTTTTGAAGCGACTGAGCTGCTTGCATAGCCGGGACCCCTTTTATGCGAACAGGGCGGCGAATGTAAACGCCCGCCCTCCGCCAGGCCGCTGCGCACGTCCCGAGCGAACACCCACCGCCGTTTTATGACGCCGATGTAATATCGTTGAAAAATTTATTTCACGCTTCTCCTTTGTTTAGTTTCAAATCGCCAGGGCCAGTCGAGTGGGCAGGCGCTATACACTTAGTCCTTCTGCTATAGTAATAGGTTTTACTTGAACGGATTTTATAGTTTTTATATGCGAGTAAAACACTAATGTGCTTAATCAAAAGCTATTGTCTGCGTATGCATGTGTGTGTGTGTGTGTGTGTGTGTGTAAAATTACTTACCCCTCTGTTAATTCCTAAATAGCTAGATAGAGAGCGATTCACCGAGCTCATTTAGTTGCGAATGTTGATTAACTTGTCACCTACATGTGTGCATGGGAGTGATATTTGCTGCAAAATTAATACAAAATATATACTCGCTCATAAATGTAAGAGTAAATTATATGCAGGATCCAATCGCCATCACTACTAGTTTTTCGATTTCTTGGGAAGATGCAACGGTAGATGTTAAGTTGGTATATGGTATCTTATTATTTACGAATACTCTTCTGATTTACTAAGTACTGTCTTACATACACAATGTTATGGCCACTACTATTTATTTGCCTGAAAAAGATGGATGTATCGGAAATAAAAATTAAGGGCCACTTTTTCATTGTTATTTAGGACCGCCATATCGTCGATGTGATTTTTTTAAAAGAATTTATACAAGGAAATAAAATAGCACGTGCACGATTTATCAAAAAGGAAAATGACAAATTTATTTCACAACAAAGAAAATCATGAATTTTCCCAAAAGCCTCACCCATCTATTTTAATCCCTAACGGGTGGACGGTCCTTTTCTGTACTTAGTGTATGCGATGTGAAAGTTCCTAAGACCATCTGACAAAACTTTTCCTGTCATCTACTATTTTATAACAAATATATAAAGTAGTATGCGTATCGATAAGTAGAGTAGTATTTTATTACGGTGGTAGAGCCACGCAGTAGCCTCGGCTGTTGCATGAATGGGCAGGCTCGTCCGGGTAAGTACCACGACCTCACAGAAGACCGACGTAAAGTGGAAGTAAGACAAATACTTTCGCGTTTCATCTGGTGAGTGAGGAAGCCGGAGCCCAATTTTGAAAAGGTTGTCAACGTATCTGGAGTCCTCGGGTGTAGCAGATGTCTATGGGCGGCGGTATTCACTTAAAAATTATAGCTGAAACCGCTTACAATATGATTCACATGTAGTGCCGACCATCTAGGTGATGGGATAAGGGCAGGAGGGTGATGATGATGATGATGATGACTAATATAACTACGGTGTAAATAGTAGATTGTTATCGACTGAACCGATTTTTATGAAGTTTGCTACAGAGGCAGGCTAGACCTTGTAAAGAAACCTACCAAGATGCCTATACCTTTTATCGCGAAAAAATGGCTAGGTCTTGAAATAGGGGATGAAAATTAGTATGGAAGTTCAAAATTATCGATATAAAACCATGAATAATACTTTATATTTAGGCACTTGACAAGAAATAAATAAATATTAGTTCTAGGTTTTTTTAAGCTTTGACCTGAGTGGAGATGAAATGAGCATGGAAGTTCTTATGGAAGTCCAAACAACAACAAATCGCCAAACCGATTTTTATGAAAATTGGTACAAAAGTAGACTTTTTTTTATTGACTTTTGGTACTGGGGATCGAGGTCGGCTATACACTACATCAATTATTACGAAATATTTCGTTAATAAATGAAACTAATAATATTAAGTTACCATGACAATTGTTTTATGGTGCTAAGTGCCACCAACCATGTGCATCCACAACGAGCGTCGAGTTACAGATGCGCTGCCTTACATTAAAGAGTTAGCCCCCTTTACCTTACTCATCAGGCGAAACTGTGAGGACTTGGCACTTACCCGGACGAGCCTGTCCCATTCATGCTATAACTGAAGCTAATTCATGTCCACAGTACTAATTTATTATTTTTTTTAAAGTAAAGTAAAGTATCAGTCTATACATGTCCCACTGCTGGGCAAAGGCCTCCTCTGTATCAGAGGGTATCAGGGCATAGTCCACCACGCGGCCCCACTGCGGATTGGCGGACTTCACATATCTTCGAAATAATTTTTTGTTATTACTTCGAAAATATGCAGGTTTCCTCACGATATTTTCCTTCACCGCTGAGCAATTCGTGATAATTCGAAACTTAAAATTAACAATTTCATTGGTGCCGGCACCGAGGATCGAACTCAGGTTGTTCGAGTTTATTGAATTAAAGGCGAGCGCCCGGACACTGGGCTATCACGGCTCTATTATACTATTAAAATATTTATAATAAATAAAATACTTATTATAATATAAGTATAATATTTGTTTATTATAATCTGCGGCTCAGCCAAAAGAGCTGTTTTTATAGTGTAAAATATCGATACTTCCATACTTAATATTATAAACGTGAAAGCGTGGTTGTTTGTCTGTGTGTATATTGGTCCTGCTTTTACGTAAGAACCGAAGTAATGGATTCACATATTTTTTTTGAAGTGATAGTATTAGAGCAGGAGAGTCACGGGAGCTATGTTTTATTATCTTTAGAAAAATGAAATAAATCCGTCCTTCTTTTACATAATTCTTTTAAAGTTGATATTTTTCTGTCGGAAGAGTGACATATGCCACTTTTTATCGCGAAAAAACATCTCATTCTGACGGGAAATTATGTTTTATTATCTTTGGAAATATTACGTGTTTTCATCCTACTTTCACATTGAAAGAAAGCAAACGGATTGACAACCACCCATCTGCTCTTTAAGGATTAGCTACGCATGTGGATCCCAAAAGCTATTGCAGATATCGCCAGCTCAATTGCTACCTACTCTCATAAAAAAAATATTATGTTAGCACGTTAAACTGATATTGTTTCAGCATAAAGTAACTAAAAATGTAAACAACATGAAATTTACATAGGTAAATGTCAAAAAGCTGTTATCGGTTGTCTTGGTGATAACGTGAAGTTAATCGCTTTGTAGCCCACTTCATCATTTTTGGCTGTCAATTTCAAATAAGTAGTTTGTTGTATTTACATAATACTTCTATTTATTATTGTTCGATAAGGCAACAAAATATAAACAATATCTGCGTGTTTGTAGTCATTGTAGAATTTGTAATTAGGTTTTGACAATATATTTGTTAAATGGCCGCTTCTAATACTAATTAAATCAATTGACAAGACAAAAAAATGAAGACAAAGAGAAAAATGGAACAATGAAGAAAAGTAATGGATAGGTTCGATTTACATAGGCAACAAAAAAGGATATCTTATGAAAAACGGCTCGAAAAATAACATGATATCTAACGTTGTCTTCCATCATTCTTCCCTTTGGATGGCCAATCAACGAAGCCCCCCACTAAACCACGCTGCCACACCGCAACCCGCTACTTCGAAAGTTATCAGTCCACCCGCAGCTAGATTGAAATGCCACCCATCTATGGAGGGAAATTTCCGTCTTCCGTATTAGAATAGCTGTGCAAACTGCCGTATAGGTCGGAATTACCGGTCCCCCTATCTGCAGACACAGATGCCTCAACGCGGTCACATTTAGCGATGGACCTACGCAATTCAAAAGCGGCAACTTTGATTTAGGTACTTAAGTCATAATCGTTGCGAACAATTGCTTAAACATAACTTGGAATTCAGTTTGATTGTCTTAGTTGATGGACCATCGTATTTAACGGTGGAAGCATAATGTGACTCTTGCGAACGTACCTACATTGACAGACCGAAATGTGTAATAGAAGAAAAAGGATTTGTTTCAACAAAATTCTTCTAAAATTTAATAGATCGATGTTTTGTTTTAAACTAATAACTGTAAAACTTTATATCCACTATTCGAATCGAAGACTTATTAAGCTCTCTCACTCTCAGCTCAACTCAGGGCTCAGCCTTCTGACTATTCTCTCACTACGTCGCACTATCCTTGACATGGTCTTCTGTAACGTTGCACCCCTCCGTATCCTTTTTCAAAACATTTGTCCGTGTGATTGTTGGTCTCCTCTAGATTTTTTCCGGTTAAGGATTGGAATAGACGGAAATGGAGAGCGTGGTTGCCGCCGTAGTTAGATGGTCTACTCTTAACATGCCCATACCACGTCAACCTGGTTCCCTGTAGTATTTAGCGATGTTGCACGATGAAGCATGTTGTTTCGAAGACCACCTTGCATATATTGCATATACATGTCCGTATGCCATGGTAATTTATATGCCACAAAGACATTGTGGATCATTAAAAACCATGAACTGGGTTTTTGCAACACTCAACATGAAATCACCTGTCTGCGGCTGATGTTAGTTTTATGATTGTTGCTAGAAATACCAGCTTCAAGCACTCCTGTAACAAGTTGCTAAAAACAGCAAGTGTACTGACTAGCTCAATTTATGTTTGAACAAAACTACGAAATAGCCCTTCAACATATCTTTTTCAAATTTTCTTTGTTGTCTGAAGTTCTTTAGACTAAACAGAATATAGTTTATTTGTACTTTAAAGATTATTACCGTTAGCATCACAAGAAAAATAAGAAACATTTTGCGTTAACAACTCTAAAAAGAATATCTTTCTACTAATATCTGCCCACCTTTTACGTCGTGAA